TTCCGATCTTTACGTTATATATATATATATATATATATATATAATGCACTAAAACTAGGTTGACATAAATTCAATTTGGTATATAATACACATTTGATACGTATACCAATTAACGTAGTAATAAAGATGACACAAAATTCAAGTTATCGATCCACAAAGACATGTGTTTATAGTTATTTAATATGATTTTTTTGATACTAAATAGATAATTAAAAAAATCATTAAATTGAATTACATGAAGAAATAATTAATTGAAAAAATTTAAAGAAAACAATATTTTGGATGAAAATTGATTTATAATAAAAGTAATCAGAGATTGATTCACTAATTTTTCCTATGTAAAATTCTATAAATTTTCCATTCATTATAATTAAACAGTTAATTCAACAACCCATACATGTATTTAAATCTTAAATTCTTAGGTGAGAAATTACAGATTGTTTAAGAGAAGTTCCATTTCCTTAGTAATAAATGTCATCAATGTTTTCTTGATATCATAGCTTCGAAAAGATTTCCTAACTTCAATTAATTATAATAAATCATGCATTGGGTGATCAAAATAAGACAAACATTAAAAATAAAAGAAAAAAAATTAATTGAATAATACCTTAATCACCAAGAATAGGGAATTTAATCATTCATGACTAAGGATTACAACTCTAGATTAATCTTTGAGCCCTATGTAATTCTTGAATTGATCTCATAGAAATCTTTCTAATCACTCCTAAAATTATACTAAAGAAACCGTGTTACAATACGAACTCCAAGGCTAATAAAAATTCAAACTTTATGATAAGTACGTCCTGATGGACTTTTCGGGTTAAGTCCAATCGCTTAAATCACTTATATATGTTACTCGCTCTGAGCGATCAAGTGAATTTGACCAAAGGTATTCTCTCTCTTTACTTGCTCGGAGTGAATTCTTTTTGCTTTAAGTGCTTATGGTGTATGCTTTAGGAAAATTGACATAATAATCTTCTAATGTTGGTCTCTAACTTGACTCACACAGAGTCAATTTATGGGTAGCTCTAAGTGAATTTTGATCGCTTAGAGTGTCTTTATTACTAGTTTTGAATGAGTTGATGTAGTCTTCCAATAATTCTCCGTGACTTAGCTCACTCAATGTGAATTTATTATGATAACTATGTGCGAATTTTGATAGCTTGGAGCTACAATCATATGCAGCTTGGAGTAATGTTTTTCTTTTAAAACTTGTAGCTTTCTAAATTATTCTATCTTGTGTTTCACTTCAACAAAGAAAAAGATAAAAAAATATCTAATTTTAACAAAATTAAACTAAAATTAAAATTATTTCTTAAATAAGTATTTTGTAGTCAAAAACAAAATTTTAAAAACATAATACATATGAATAATTATCTTAATTAAATAAATAAATATGAATACATATTTAACAAATTATCTACATAAACTTAATTATATCCATCTTTTAACAAACTTAATTTTATTTCCTTGAAAGAAACTACCGTTAGCATCCCCGTTGACCCGTCCTCTATTTCCTATACTTTGAAGGCTGCCATGACTTTGCCGTGGTGCCCTAAGAGAACTGTCACTGTCTTCACTCTCATCAGACTGCCTCTGAACATTGACACAATGAGGACATGCAGTAGGTTTCCACGTCCCGGTTCCCGTAGCCTCTTCAATCATGTGAAACAGTGCCGAAGAAGGGTGTTCAACAGGCCCATCTACGTTGAATTCCAAACGGCCTGTACGCGACACTCGAATCGTCACCACTCACCACCATGGAAAGACCAATGTCTACACCACTTGCATTGAATATTCCTCCGCTAGAACTCTTCACGTAATAATGAGCCACGGTTACCATGTAAGCCTTCTCATTGCTTCTTCTGCTCTTGGACTCCATAACGAAAAGACTCATCCTAGTTCCATACCCATAAGCGTGAAAATACGTTTTTGTCTCACCCCTCGAGGAATCACCGGACTTTGCTGTGTAAGGGCCTCGGTGGTTGACGAAAAATCGATAAGATTCTGCCCCACGATATACGTCAAGAAGAGACCAGCTTCTGCTTTTCTCACCGTTACGTAATTCGTTTCACCATACATAGCTATATCTGTTTCTATTCCATGCGTATAATCTTCAATTTTGATGTCTAACTCCTCGTCTGAATTTGTTTCGGTGGTTTTATTGGTTATGGAAAATGTAGAAATCACTCCTTGCACGTTGTACAAGACTTCCCAGGTCTGAGTCATTTTATGAGTCTTTTCATCTAGCTTTATTCCTCTCTTCTTCATGCTAATGGTAGCTGCCTCGCCCAGTTCAATACGGTAAAAAGAGTGCCCATTGCCGAGAAGACGAAACCCGCCGGAACGGTTTCCCATTGTTCAAAGTACCTGCACAATTAAGTTATGACCGGAAAAGCACTAAAAATTAAATTATTTTATGAGTGGGGAACGTTTACATCAAATTTTAATAATTTAATAATTAAATTTAAAGTTTTTAATATATAAATTAAATATATAATTTTTCTAAGAATTTAAAAACTATTTAATATTTTATTTTATTAATTTAAATTACTGAAATTTTATATGTTCATTTGAATTAATAAAATAAAATATTAAATATTTTTTTTAATTTTTTTTAAATAAAATTACAGATTTAATTTATACATTAAGAACTTTAAATTCAACTATTAGATTATTAAAATTTGATATAAAATATGAGTTATTAAATAATAAACCTAGATAAACTTATTCCTGGAATAATTATAGTCCTCATCATTTTATCAAGGTTAAAATATTTTTTAGTCTATGCAATTTTACTTACTTTACTTTTTGTATCTTATAAATTAAAATAGACTTTTTTTTAAAGTTTTTATACTCATCTTTTAGAATTTTTTTTAATTTCTATAGTTTTTAGTTTTTATACTTATAATTTTTTAAATTTTTTTAGTTTTTATTATTAATTCTTTTTATAACATTATTTCTTTTGTGTTGATGTGATAGATATATTAATTTAACTTGATATCGAATTTATTTTGTTAAAATTACTATAAATTGAATCTTTTGATGTTTTTTTTTTTTTTAAAGTATTCGCTTATGACATCCATTATTTAGATACCCTTTATTTTACTATTTCAAAATTAAAAATCTCTACTAAATTAATATACAATAGATAACGTTATAAAAAAGTTTAATAATAAGGACTAACCTATTTCTCAAACATGCAGTTTTTTTTACAAAACATCTTTTTTCACTGAGACAGCTAAAAACATATTATCTTTCCCAAACCATGAACTTGTAAGAATAATATTTTTGGACACTTCATTATTTTTAATTACTCCATCAACACTCCCTTGCATCAAATTTATTAACCACTCTCTATTTCATGATGGTGCAGTTTATTATTTGGTTCATATTATATTTAATTAAAGTAAGGTTTTGGTCTTCTCATATTGATGTTCTAGTTCTTTAGATTTCTTTTGTCTACCTAGTCGCCTGGAGAAGGTGTAGACTTTCCTTTAGTGTGGCTTGTTCTATCAGACACAAGTGGTATGTTTTGTATTTAGAGATGGACAAATAATAAGTTATGATACATAACAAAATTAAAGCTACATAACAAAAACCCCAATATCATACTATATCCTATGGTGAACTCATATTTCTATTTATGAATTGTTATCTACAATTTAAATATTTCAATAAATACTAAACTAAAAAAGTTAAAAAATAATTTAAAATTTTTCATAAATAAAAATAACTAAGTCATAATCAAACTAAGATGAAGTTTACTTCTTATTTATTTATTTAAATAAGTTAGCCTCAAACTTTTAGTTCATTTGTTTGAATAAATGAGTCAATTTTTCTATTAAAAAAAAACCTCAAGCAAACTTAAATTTATAATGCTCGGTTTGACTCTTATTTCTATAAAAGTATAGAAATTAATAACCAGCAAGAGTATAATGAAAATATCTAGGTAGAAATAAATCGAGCCAGCCTTATACCTGTTCTTGCAACTTGAGGATAATGGATTGCTTCGATCAGATATGGGAACTTGAAGACTAACTATATAACTTCTGACCACTTCTCTTGAAATAATCAATTAGTCTTCCTGCTCTGCATTGTTGGGTTCACATGGCAAAGATATAAATACACAAACTATAGACTCTTCTCACTGTATCATGAAAAGTGTCATTTTTTTTTGTAAATTTTCCTGAAAAAAATATTCGCAGAAATTAAAAAAAAAATTAATTTGAAAATTAAAAGATATTTTACTTTTTTAATTTAAATTGTTGAATAATCATAAAATATTTTATATGTTGATTTGAATTAATAAAATGAAGTATTAAATAATTTTCAAATTTTTTTAAAAAATTTGCAAACTTAATTTATACATTAAGAACTTCAAATTCAACTATTGGATCATTGAAATTTAATATAAAATATGAGTTATTAAATAAAATAAACTTAAATAGACTTACGCCCAGGATAATCAGACTCCTCATCATTTTATCAAGGTTAAAATATTTCTTAGTCTATGCAATTTTATTTTACTTTTTGTATCTTATAAATTAAAATAGATTTTTTTTATAGTTTTTATACTCATCTTTTATAACTCTTTTTAGTTTCTATAGTTTTTAATTTTTATACTTATAATTTTTTAATATTTTTAATTTTTATTATTAATTCTTTTTGTAACATTGTCTCTTTCTGTGTTGATGTGATAGATATATTAATTTAACTTTATATATATAATATCAAATTTATTTTGTTAAAGTTACTATAAATTAAAATTTTCGATATTTTGTCCTTTTTGTATTTAGATACCCTTTATTTTACTATTTCAAAATTGAAAATCTCTACTAAATTAATATACAATACATAACATTATAAAAAAATTAATAATAAGGACTAACAACATTTAAAAAAAAAACTCCACATGTAGAAGCTAAAAAGCCCCATCTTAAACTATAGAAATTTAAAAAGGTTGAGAAATATAAATATAAAACTAAAACAATTCTATTTTAAATTATAAAAATTAAAATGTAAAGTAAGTAGATTAAAAGAATATTTTAACCTTTAACCTATTTCTCAAACATGCAATTTTTTTTTTTACAAAACATCTTTTTTCAATGAAGACAGCTAAAAACATATTATCTTTCCCAAACGTGAACTTGTAAGAATAATATTTTTGGACACTTCATTATTTTTAAATACTCCATCAACACTCCCTTGCATCAAATTGATTAACCACTCTCTATTTCATGATGGTGCAGTTTATTTTTGGTTCATATTATATTTAATTAAAGTAAGGTTTTGGTCTTCTCATATTGATGTTCTAGTTCTTTAGATTTCTTTTGTCTACCTAGTCGCCTGGAGAAGGTGTAGACTTTCCTTTAGTGTGGCTTGTTCTATCAGACACAAGTGGTATGTTTTGTATTTAGAGATGGACAAATAATAAGTTATGATACATAACAAAATTAAAGCTACATAACAAAAACCCCAATATCATACTATATCCCATGGTTAACTCATATTTCTATTTATGAATTGTTATCTACAATTTAAATATTTCAATAAATACTAAATTTAAAAAGTTAAAAAATAATTTAAAAATTTTCATAAATAAAAATAACTAAGTTATAATCAAACTAAGATGAAGCTTAATTTTTTTTTTTAATTTTAAATAAGTTAGCCTCAAACTTTTAGTTCATTTGTTTGAATAAATGAGTCAACTTTTCTTTAAAAAAAAAAGAAATCTCAAGCAAACTTAAATTTATAATGCTCGATCTGACTCTTATTTCTATAAAAGTATAGAAATTAATAACCAGCAAGAGTATAATGAAAATATCTGGGTAGAAATAAATCGAGCCAGCCTTATACCTGTTCGTGCAACTTGAGGATAATCGATTGCTTCGATCAGATATGTGAACTTGAAGACTGACTATATAACTTCTGACCACTTCTCTTGAAATAATCAAATAGTCTTCCTGCTCTGCATTGTTGGGTTCATATGGGAAAGATATAAATACACAAACTATAGAATCTTCTCACTGTATCATGAGGGAGAAGTTAATATTACGCAGATTACTTTATTTAGTTGGAAGTGGAATCTTATTCTGTAACATATTTCAACACCTGTTCTCTGTTTATTGAAAGATTCCGATAATGGTGTTGCTTGTAAGTTTTGTTTGATTCTTCCATTTGATTCTAAATCGTTAAAAACGGAGAAAAAAAAACATCACGAATCAAAAAGTATTCAACAAATAAATAAATTAAAATATAATTATATATATACACACTTTTTTAATATATTCAAATTCAATAGAACTTTCACGTATATTAGTGAGTTTTTTTTTTAATAAGCAAAAGAAACTTCATATTGATAATTGAATCAGGCTTTGAGAGATTAAGCACAAGTAGTGGCCATATCCAAACCTTTATACAAAATACTAGTCCATCAACCTACATATATATGAAGTTAAAAGAGAATGATATAGTGACATGTGACACTTAAATATAATGTTTAATTGTTAACGAGTTTTTTATTTTATTAATAATATTGGGTAAATCGTAGTTTATAAGCACAACTTTTTTTAAGTTTCTGACGGTCTATAACGGCAAGTTATGTCAGTTGTAAATTAACTATAATAAACATAAAAGTCATATACATGAAGTACGACTAATTTTTTTTATAGTCGTAAACTTCTCAAAAACTACATTAGTTCGACAATTTTAGAATCAAATTATTCTAGTTTCCTCTAATGCAAGATACGAGTGGTATAAGTAAAAAAGTTATTCTAATAAATTTGATAAAAAAATGGGAACGAAAATTAAAAAAGTAATTTGGATTTGTGAGTATAGCAAACGTCCGTCCGAGTTCAAAGGGTTTTAATTTCAATATTATCAAAGCATTTTGGCCAATTTTGAAGAATGATATAAGTAGAATATTAGAATTTTGTGAATGGTGTTGAATACGATCTCTTGCTGTTATGAAGTTTTTAAAAATGCAAGACAGAGACATGCAACAAGATAAAGTCAAATACTGAGGAAAGACACTCACCGTTATCTACTACTATAAATATTATTTGGGCAATATCTCTTATCTGCTTCTAGAAAATTACACTAAGCTTATACAATAAAGTTATTTAATCTTATTTAATTTCATTTTGGAAAAGTTAGACAACCCATATAAAAAATTTCTAAACTCATTGATATAAAGTTCAGTAGTTCACTCTTTGAGCGTTGATTCTGTTATAGATTTTTTCTAAGATGTATTCTATATATATAGTGTTAGTCATACCTTTAATTTCTTTAATATTTATGTACTCAGGATGGATTTAAGAAGGGTTGCTAGAGGCCTTCGCCCCTCTCCTCAATTCACTCATTAAAAAAAATTAAAATAAAATATGTTTATTGTCTTAAATATATGATTATGTTGAAAAATTAGTTAAATATATTATATATTCTGTATTATTGATAATTTTATGATTTAAAAGAATAATATTTATAAGTTTGATAAATAATATACTGTATTTAACAATTATAATTTAATATTTATTTAAATATATTATTAAAAAAATTTAGTCCCCGTTAATCGAGTTTTAGACTCATTTGTGTTTGTACTAGCACTTTCTTTATTACTAGCTGACGTTTATTAAAATCATAAATTTTATAATTTACATATCTCATTTAATAAATATCTTTTTTAATATAAATAAAAATTATTAAAATTTGTGATTCTCAACTAATAATAATAAATATATTATAAAAAGAAAAGTGATAAAGACAGTAACCCTAGTATATTTTTGACTCATTCTAACTATCTTTCAATTTCTCTTTCACTTATTTTTTTACTCCATCACTCATAAAATATCTCATCTCACTATTTTATTTTCATTGCTATCATCCTTAATAACACTCAATTCGTTTTGCAAGACTGTAAAGATATTATATATTTATAAGTATATCATTATACATTAACGTTGGTAATTAATATATAAAAAAGTGATTCGACATTTACATTCTTTAATTAATTAATTAAGAATTAAAATTTAATTTCATAAAAAACACAATCGAATATACAATTTTAAAAGAAGATAATAACTTAATAATGTACATTATCACGTTATTATCTTCTCTTAAAAAAATAATATAATATTGGTTCCCAAAGAAGCTGCCCATCGCATCCCCAAGAACAGTCCATTATTTCTTGTCCTATCTACAGTACGTACGTAGTTTTATTTTGTTATAATGTTCGTGAATCGTGAGACAATGTCATTTGATGTTGTATGTCGTTGAATACATGCATGCATTAGTTTGGTTTACTTGAATGACTTTTTCTTCTTGATAATTTTGATGAAATAACTAACATAGCAGATTTTTCAGTTCCAATTATGGAATTCTTTTGATGCACCGAAGCAAATGGCGGTATTGTTTTTTTTGTGGGAAATAAGAAATCTTGTTATACCAAAATCTTGTTCGTTGAATACATGTATCCATTAGGTTGTGGTATGTTATACCAAAATCTTGTTATACTATGAAATTAGAAATAAGGTTCCTTTTGAGACAATAATGTCTGATACGACACTTGCATCGATATATGCAGGTTCTTTTTGAGACAATAATGTTTGATACGACACTTGCATCGATATATTGCATATAGTAAAATGGATGTATTTGAAACATTAGAGTCGGCATCACGATGGAAGTTTGAAATAATATGCGTAGAATTTTTAAATTCAAATTCGACGTTATTCTAATGGATGAAAAATAAAATGGATGACATTTCTTTGGCTTTAAAAAAAATTCATTTCTTTAATTTAGTTTCTTTAACAAGAAGATTTTAGCATTTATGTCTGTTAAATGTAACCAATGAAATATATCTCACAAGATTCAAAGAAAGTTGTTTTGAAGCATTTGACAAGGTTGAAGTATATTAATTAACCACAATTCTGATTTACACTTTTTTTGTATATACCAGAAAATGGTTCGTGGAAGAATAGCTATGAAGCTGATTGAAAAAGAGAAATCCCGTAAGACAACATTTCACAAGAGAAAGAACGGATTAATGAAGAAAGCTTATGAGTTTGCCACTCTTTGTGGGGTTGATGTTGGGGTAATTATCTATGCCCCCGACTTTCTTAAAGAACTTGAAACATGGCCCCAAGACTCAGAAGAGATAAAACGTGTCATTCAAAAACTTCAGAACACCACTAGAGATAGGTGTCCTAAGGTGTATGATGTGGAAGAGTATTTTAGCGAAAGGATGAAGAAGATTGAAGGTGAGATTTCCAAAGTGCACAAAGCGAAGATCAAGGTCATGTATCCAACTTGGGACGACTCATACAATACTCTTGGGGAGGAACAATTGAGGAGGTTTGTTGGTATTCTGGATGCTAAGCTTGATGCTTGTAATCGAAGGATGAACATGTTAAAACGAGATTCAAAGGGGAAAGCAAAAGCAGAATCAGACACAGCTGAGATACTTACTCCCTACATGGCCTCAAATTTAGGCAGTCACATGAATTTCATGCAGAACATGTCTCAAGCACAAATTTTCTATCCTATGAAGTCAACTAGTGATAACAACCAAGTAGCATTATACCCATTTCAGCTTGGCCAAAGTTCTAAATCTTCTATGTTTCATTTTGGTCCAAATTGCACACAATTAATGGGAAAAAATGGAATGGTGGATTGGGCTAATCAAGTTGGTGTTGTGGCTTGTGATCCCAAAAAGGGTATACTAGAGGAGGATGTATCTCAGAAAAGCCATAATTCCTCACCATGCTATTCCAATGGAAATATACAAACAATGCAGCCATATAATGTTAGTTTGCAAACTCTTCCTTCTCAATTGCAGTACAATGCAACTTTCCAGACTTTACCACGTCAACCAGGACCACCACCAGGGTCTCAACTTAATGACTCCTATGATTCAAATATGCTTCAACGTCAATATTTTTACTACATGCATGGAGGTCCCAGTACTTAAAACGTATATGCTTTTTACAGGATTCTGGAATTAGGTTTTAATTTTCTTTGCTATGTAAGCATTGGCTCATGCTTGAGAGTTGTTGAATTTCTTTTCTAGTTTTTGATTTTGACTGAGTATGGATTTTAGCATTTTACGCAATATAACTGATGTTTCCTAATACAATCCGCATGATTTTTTCTTTTTTCCTTAGAGATTCAGTTACAAGTATGTCTCTATTTTGTCTGAAATTAAATTTTAGAGAGATCCATCTAAGGTAGTCTGTTTGATTTCTGGTTGGTCGGGATAGCAACCGAGTAAATAATGCTTCTTGTGATGCTTCAGTCAAACATTGTTTTAAGTCAAGAAAGTAAAAATTGCCTTGAAATACTTGTTCAACATGAATCAAAGTATGAAATACGGTCTTATCACATTGAAAGCTCTGTTAAGATATAATAAAAAGTAATAGGACACATATATTGAAGTAAGTGAAGGGTTTATTGTTTTTTTGGTTAATTAGGGAAGTATTTCAGAAGGATTGATATACTTAAATACGGCGCAAGAGGTTTGTAAGTTTTCTAGTTCTGAAATGGTAGTTTATCGTATAGAATTGTTGTTTTCCTATTATTAATTGATTTCTTTTTTGGGTTGTAATCTGAATTTCATCTCTGTGGGCTTAAATTCTGGAAATTAGAAACAAACAAGTAACATCTAGCAAAGGACCACCCCAGAGCATTTGGCAAGTCTAAAGCCTTGCAAAATTGATGGAGCACCTCGTGTAACTAATTGGTCCTTGTAGTGTAAACTTTACTTTTTAGTCCTACACATAAAAATTATTTATTTGAGCTTCTATATAAGCACCGTTGCTTTTATTTTAGTCATTGTCATTAAAAAATAGTTAATATCGTTAATTATGAAAGATGTGACATTAATGTATTGCTGATGTGGCACCGGTGTTTACGTTTTAGTCTCTGTATATTCTTATTGTTATATCTCTAAATTTATATAAACTTTACACTTTAGTTCCTACATTTGCATAGCTTTTAAATTTTAGTCTCTACGTAGAAATTACTCATTTTATTCTTTGTATGATCAGTTTTTTTTAAAACATTTTAGGCCTTTTTTTCTTCCTCCTTCTATTTCTTTATTTTCTTTTTCCTTATCAACACCTCCTAACTTATTTTATTTTGCAGATACATTTCTTTTAAATTCTTATTAACCCTAAATCAGAGAGACTTAAAGTTGCAGAGTCAAGATGCGCTTCTCGAACAATATGAGGTATACTGCGAGTAGTATTTTTTTTTTTTTTTTAAATACAGATACCATAACAAAACTAAAAGTGCTTATATAAAAACTAAAAAAATATTTTTTAAGGGTAGAAACTACAAATTAAAGTTTGTAAATAAGTAATTAAACCTTAGTATTCTAAGATATGCAATGCACAAAATAATTTTATTTATATAATTATTCACATTTAATATAAAGTTATTGAGCAGTGTAATACTTGGTAAAAGTTATACCAGTGTTATTATAACCCTTCTCATTTTAAAATATATAAATTATTACTTAAACTTTTTAAATTTATAATAAATAATTTAAATT